ATAGAAAAAAAGAACAACAATAATTTTTGTATAAAAAGAAAACAAGCTTAGTTAACAATGAGTCTCATAACGTGACACCATGATTAGAAGACGATATGCACCTTGAGTTCGCGGCTTAGTATGCTTTTCGAAGTGTTGGATCCATTCTACGCCTTTCTCATTTGTAGTCCAGCCATTAGGAGTCGTGGAGATGACCCAATCCTTTGGTAGCGCGCTATCTTCGTACCAGTTCGCGAGATGATGCAGCCCCGCGACGATGATAAACGGCGAGAGATGATCGGGACACTCATTTCGACACTCATTTGCGCCACACACTCATTTGAGTGGGTTGTCGACCACCAATCGGTTTCGAGGTGATAGAGGCGGAAGAGGAGGGTATGGAGGGCCGCCTGGGGGTGGCCAACAAGCCATCCAGGTCTTCTCGTAAGTTGAACCCTCAGGTAGCAAAGTTGTAAATATTTAGTCGTACAACACACTAACTGTCTACAGCAACCCTCAACGCCAAGATCCCAAAGTCCCCAAAGTCGAAGATGCCTTGCATCCATCGACAAAGAAGACGCTCGATCTTGGTAGCCTGAAGCTGACCGAAGGCTTCCCCAGCCGTCCGGGATATGGTACCAAGGGTACCAAAGTTGAACTCACGGCAAATTACGTCGAGCTATTGCCCCCATCAAACATGGTTCTGCATCGGTATGACATAGAGATCAGCCCGGAGGCCGCTGGCAGGATGTGTTTCAGGATCGTGCAGCTACTGCTCCAGTCGTCGGAAATGGCACCGCGCCAGGGCGACCTTGCAACTGACTTCCGGTCTACCCTCGTCTCCAAAGTTAAGTTTCCGCGTGACGAGACCATTATCGAGGTATGCTACCGTTCGGAAGGCGAAGACGAGCCGGCGGCTAGAGCCACCACATACAAGATCCGCGTCCTATATACAAAGACTTTAAGTATCGGCGAGTTGGTCAACTACCTGAACTCCACGAATCTTAGCCAGTCGTTACGAGATAAGCAGGAGTTGACGCAGGCCCTGAATATCTTTCTGAACCACTACGCCAAATCCGCAAACAACCTTGCCACGATTGGATCGACGAAGAGCTTTTCCCTCAACCGAAACGCAGTAAGAGGAGATCTCGGCTCCGGGCTTCTTTTCGAGCGTGCGCGTTGCGACTTGTCGCATCCTGGTCAATATTAATGTCAGCCATGGAGCCTTCTACCACGCTGGTCCTTTACCGACGCTCATGAACAATTATTACGGTGTTCGCAACACCGTCGCGCTAGAAAAATTTCTCAAATTAGTTCGTGTCCAAACCACGCATCTGCCCGAGAAGCGCAACAAAGCCAATGAAGTGATTCCCCGAGTCAAGACTATCTTTGGGCTTGCCAAGAAGGATGATGGACATCGCATGGCCCACCCACCTCGCATTAGACAGCATGGAGCAGGCGCCAAAGATGTCGAATTCTGGCTTGACGGTGAAGCCAACTCCTCTAGAGCACCCAAGGCGGCAGCCAAGGGAGGCGCGAAAGGGAAGGGCAAGGGCAATGATAAGGCTCAGCCAGAGAGCTCGCAGCTTCTGGCTCCGGGAGGTACATCACTGTTTTTGACCTTTTCAGAACAAGTACGTCATTTTCTCTATTCATCGCTCGATGTAGCTGACTGTGACGCAGCATATAATCGAGTCCTACAGCATCCCCAGCTTCCGTTGGTCAACTGCGGCAACCGGGAGAATCCGATGCATCTCCCGGCAGGAGTCTGCGTTGTCTTCGCGGGCCAGCCCTCCATGTCGAAGCTTGACGGCACCCAAACTCAACAGATGATTCGCCACGCTGTTCGAAAGCCGTGGGAGAATGCGGTGTCGATTGTTGGGGAGGGTATACAGACTGTTGGTCTCGACGAGAACTCCAACGTGCTTTTGGTACGTCTCCGCTCTTCCCTCGAAACATGGCATACTAACCTCGTTCAGCGTTCTTTTGGCCTTAGAATTACGCCAGGGCTCATCAAAGTCCCCGGTCGCGTCCTCGTCTGCCCGAAGGTTATCTACAGGCCTACAGGCCTACTACTACGATCTGTAGCGGCTCGATCCTTTTCAACGAAAATGGAAATGCAGCCAATCGGTCTGATGGGGCACACCCTGGTCCTCCTTTTTAGATCAAAAAAATGATCTTAATTTCCCTCGTCACACCCCGTCACATGAAACCCACCCCTTTTTCATTGAAAGGGCATTTATATGTTACTACCGGTTCATAACGTAGTAGTAACCAATAACTACTTAGCAGTGTTGAGTATTAAAATCAAATTACTAGTAAATCTTCTTTTTCGACAGACATCGCCACCCGCCTCATTTTCCGAGAGTACTGAAAGCCAACGCCCCCCTTCCGTGCCGCGGATAACGCAACCTAAAACAATACGTGAGGAATGCTACAAGGTTGAGTGGATATACAATGCTTTTATGACTTCATTGCCAACACTACTACTTCCTGCACAGCTTTAACGCGATGTCTTTGCCCTCACTTCGGCCAGCTCATGCGCAGTCCACACCGGCGCAACGGTTGACTCCGCCACGAACAAGCACTTGCAGCGTCTCTTGCCGTAACGACACCACGCGATCGACTCGACCCAGATCTGAGAATGACGCAGGTGATATGAACATCCTTCTCGCGCAGGAAGCGGCCGAGGATCGTCGCCGACAAGCCAGAGCTGAACAGGCCTGGCGGGAAAGCCAGCAGCACTCGTGTGAAGAAGACAATGAGACAACCCCATGGCTGAAGCACACTAGGTGGCCAGAGATATTTCGGAACAGACCCCTTGATATCATCACTGCCTCTGCGAGGCAGCCCACTCGAGGTCCTTATCAGAATAGCGAAGATTACTTGCTCGGACATTGGCGAGGTGTCCCGCTCTGTAGTTCAGCGGCAGCAGAGGCACAGTTACGGCTCTTAATGCGTGCCGTCGATGAGGTATTCGACCGTGCAAAGGCAACACTAACATCCACATCCTATCGGTCCAGATGCTGGCTCTCGAGCCACTGGAAAAACGAGTTTTGGCATCGTCCGTTACGCATACTGCCGCCGTCGACTGAACAGAAATACAAGTCATACTGGAAGCAGTTCATCTGTTATGTCTTTCGAGCGCTGGCTTGTAAACCAGTCTTGCGCCGAGAAATTTATAACGTATCACTAAGTGTAGATGATGTGACGATGATGCGGCATATCTTGGGCCTGGTGTCGCAGCTACAGGAGGAAGTGGAGGATGGAGAGGAAACGTCTGAAGGCGGTGCAGGAGTATCGAGTGACGAGGACGATGAGGACGATCAAGAGATGGATGATGAAGAAAACGAGAGCTACGGCGCGCAACACAGTGATGCGGAAGACGAGGACAATTCGGATCATGAAGAAGACTGCCAATACGAAGGAGAAGGAAAAGAAGACGAAGACGAAGCCGATATGCATGATGTGAATGGCACTTCAGAGCATATATTTCATCTTGCTACAGGCACTCGCCTCAAGCTTTGTGAGGCTCTATTTCAGCTGTCTATGATGTTCTGGACGTACCAGTGCCAAGCCGGTGTCATGACATCATCAACTCTGGTACATTTTGTTGCAGTTATGGGGGTGCATCGCTCCTCTCTTGCCTTTCGTGATGCATACAACTCAACACCAATGGTTGCTGCTCTGATATGGGTAGGTCGACTATTTTTCCTTGAATACAGTCTACCATTGTACAGCTACGACACCCTCGTCTATGCCTGGCCTGCTCGTGACGCCTACCTGTCTCAACCAACGCGCCTGGAGAAAATCAGAGCCAAGTACATGTTACGAGGTTGCCATTCGCCACTTAGCGAGCTAATCGAGCTAAAGGCGATGGGCAGGAGTATTGTTAAGCGTGAAGGGGTACCAGGTAACCTTACATGGGCTCCAGATGGCCACTCATTCACAATCGGCAACGCCAAGGTGGTGCGGCTGGTTGAATTTTGTACCACGTATCAGGCCGCCATCAGTAACGTACAAGAGAGAGTGGCGGAGATGATGTTGGGGTGGGAGCCTACAGTGGAACTATCACAGGTTCAGGACGATTTGACGTGTCGACTCCCGGGATGGTGCTTTCTCGATAAGACCGATAACAATCTAAGAAACGTGTACAAAGCAATGGCACGTCGTGCATGGTCATCGACTTTTCGTGGCCAGGCGCTTGCCAAAGCCGGCCACTGGTTACCAGGACCGTGTTTGGCGTACCTAAAAGCGGGCACAGAACTGGGAACGATGGCATTTACTGGTATTCATATGACACCAACATTGCCCAACCGGGGTACAGAGACAACAAGTATACGATTACGCAATACCAAGCTCGCAAAAAGAAACGTCTTCATCCGCGAGGGACAGCTTCTCGTAATCGTCAGCTATAACAAATCTCGTGCCTCGAATAATCACGCATTCTATATCGTACGCTACCTGCGTGAAGACCTTGGCTCTGCCATATTTCTGTACATTGCCTATATACAGTCATTTATTGACTTTTTAGCAAATCAGCTACAGCTGCCACAATATCATAGCAACGAGTTCCTCTTCCCAGACCCAAAACACAAGGCAAAGCATATGAACTCTATGCAGGCGACAGAGGCCCTTCGATCCCTAACCCGACACCTACAGACGCCATGGACATTATCTTTATATCGACAAGCTGCAATCGCTATTGCCAAGAGATACATAAGTGAACTTATCAAAGAAAGAAACTTTTATTACCCATCCGAAGCGAGTACACCAATTCGGATGATTGCCGCAGGCATTGGTCACCACCCTCGAATGCTGCTCACGTCATATGCCATTGACAGAGCTTTGCCGCCACGACTACAACCAGAGCTTCTTGAGATGTACCGCCAGTTGTCAACGCTCTGGCAAAGCTGGAACCAGAAATACTACGAAGAGCACTGCTCAGACCGGCAAAATACAATAGTTGAGCGAGAGCAAAACTTAACAGCTGATACAAATGGGCTAACTGCTCGGCGGGAGAATAAGAGAGCAGGAAGCCCTCAACACGAGAGAGAAAACCGAAAGAGACAAAAAGTGAGCGTTGGAGATAGTACTGACCTTCTCGGTTGTTCTTCTTCTAATGTCAGCACGACTGAAACATTTGATGGATTCGTCTACAATGCAGAGTACCAGATCCTTATCTGTGTGTCTTGCGAGTCTGTCGTTAGTCCAGGAAGGCAGTCTCTCTACGGCCATTTAAACCGTCATCGGATCCTAGGTCCTCTTTGTAAGGCATATATCGAGCGGTTTAGCAGTCTTCAGCTTACGTCATTAAAGGAGCTTCCCCGGCCGCAGCAGATGATTCCTGCTATCCCTCATCTCCGAGTTTACAAAGCATTCCGATGCAATATTTGCTATTACTATACGACTCGATGGGCCCTGAGCCTTGATCACATGTCAACACATAAACTTGGAATTTCTCCAATGCAGGCCTGGAAAATGGGGAAGATAAGAAATTGCTACGTGCAGACATTCTCGTCTGCGAGAGGGCGAATAGGATACTTCGAAGTCGAGGCCCCACAATCTTCGATTTAGCGAAAAATGTCGAAAGTGGATTTTTAAAGTTTGTTCGTTAAATGAAGTTTTTGATTTTAAACCCGAATCATCCCACCGCTCAATCTCTCCAAGAAGCATCTCCCACATATCCTTGTTCTTGACCTCGGCGCCGGCGCTCGTCTTCCGCCCATTGCGTACCCAGCTACGAATCCACGCCGTGGCGCCTTCGGCGACATATTCGAAGTCAGTAGCGAAAACCAACGTCGTGAAGCCCTCGCCTCGCCAGTGCCGGAACCGGAGTGCAGCAAGGACAGCTCGCAGCTCAGCCCGATTGCTGGCCTGGGTGGTTTCGTCCCCGAAGGGTGCTTTCTTCTCAAGGCGGCCCGACACAATGCCGGTGGGCTGGTTAGATTCGGGCTTGAAGACGAATGCCCATCCCGCTCTCGGGTTGGGCCGTCCGTTGTTGAGACAGGCACCATCGGCATATATCAATATTTGTTCCGGATCGTCACGACGAATGAATCGAGTAACGCGCGGGATAGCTTGATGGCCAATTCCGGCTGGGAACAATGCTCCGGGAGCAGAAGTCGCTGAAGGCGGGCTGAATTTGGTGGCAAGGAGACGTCCCGTGCCTCATCTGTTGGCAGGGCCGCCGCAAAGTTCCGATGATGCGGCAGTATGGACGATGTGGAAGCCAGTATGCGTTCCAGTATTTCGGTGGTAGGCTGGACTGTTTGCATGCGTTGAGGGCGGGGCCCCCCATCGCGGCATCAATGTCAGCCAGCATTTCATCACTCAACTGCTCATATAGTTCGCTTGTCTCACGCCCCAGTCGTTCCGCTGGGTCTTCCGACAGCTCCTCCATGAAGCTGAAGTCGACGCAACAGTATGGGCAAACTGCCAAACGGTGGCGGCGACAGACCAAGCGGCAATCGGGGAGCTCAACGGGTCCAATGCTGTCATCACTATCAGAGTCATATCTAACGTGCAGATGTGAAGACATGGTGGAGTTGTAGTGGGCAGTCGTTCGTGGTGAGTTGAGGAGAGGCACAGGCCCATCTGAAGGAGCCGGGGGGCAGGGCATATATGCATTTACGCCTCTTTCTCGTGTCGAATCGGAAGCATCGTGCACCCAAGGTACAGCTGGTAGAGACCAATATATATTTGTGTATGCAAGACGACAGCACAGTCGCACTGTCTGTGACGGTTTCTTGCCCCTTATTTGTTTCCCATCATTCACTTGTGGCTGGCCCCACCGCCAGTGTGATGCCTAGGTGACCGCAATGTGATGCAGGCAACGCGAAGAAAAAGCGGGCCTGGATGATGGCGCGTCTTGAACGGCCCGCGTTCTGGGGCTCTGTCCAATACTGACCTTGACCATCTCTCAGCTTGTCAACTTCCACCAGCCTTCCCGAACTGGTCCTTTTTTTATAAAAAAAAATTGTCGCCAATATAAATCGCTTCCACGCTTCCTCCAACCTGCTTTCATTGTCTCATCTCGTCGCCACACTCCTCAAGTGTACCTCTAGGAGCTCGACAACATGGTAGAAACACGCAAGGTACGTCATTGCAGTGTCATCTGTTGCGATGGACGGAGGCAATTGAACTAAACGATAAGCAGCGTGGATCCTCACCCGTCGACGACCGCCAGAACAACCCGACAAAAAAGTCTCGCACAACTGTCAAGCCCAGGAAGGCCGTCAAGAATCTTGGCACCTGCTCGATGGACAAGAAGCAGATTGGGGACAGCGTCAAAGCAGCACTGGCTTTGAGTAAGTACGCGCTCAATCGGACAGTCATAAGTGCAAGTCGCCAACTTCTTTCCGTCTGACACAAGCTAACATCGGATAGCTCCAAATGGACACGGCCTTCTTCCGCGCCTTCTTCGTCGATAACAAGGGTCTCACGAACCCTTTGCAAATCACACCCACAGAGTTCGACGACGGCACCCCAGTCGTCGTCGTGGACGTCGGTCACCACCAAGCGGGCGCTTGGTGTTAGCAAGATCAAGGGAGGAAATAGGTTCGCCACGACGTACCTGGCGGCTATGTGTGTTGTGTTCTACCCGAGCAAGGGAATCGCTAAGCTGTGGGTGTCTGTGTAGCCTCTAGACGTCTCCCAAAAAATGTTGATCCCTGCTGGCTGCAAGAGAAGACCAAGGCTCCAAGTTCGCAATGCTGGTCGACTTGTTGAATGGGATACTAGTATCATCGCAATGTACGCGCTTAGATGATATTGCCAACGTGTTCAGGATAGAGCATCGCACAGCTATGTAGCCGTCACGTGGCAGCCATCCATTCTCGTGAACGTAAAACACGATTGGCCAGTTTGCTGTATCCGCCTTGGGCGGTCGGCTGCGACCTGAAAACCAGGGCCCGTTCAAGGCTGTAACAGCGGGAGCCCGGATCCAAACTTCTCCTTGAGGAACCGTTGCACGTCGGCGTTGCCTCCGCGCCCAACCGACAGACCCTCCGGGTTGCCCTCGATCTTGAGCCCAAGCAGACCCGTCGCCCTCGACAAGGCGACATACACCTGACCCTCTTCGAATGCCCTCGTCACATCGACAATGACGCGGTCCAACGACAATGACGCGGTCCAGCGTCATCCCCTGACTTTTGTGGATGCTCATGGCCCAGGCTGCCACAAGGGGAATCTGTGTGCGGTGTAAGAGCGAGTAAGGCTCACAGCTACCGACCGAGTTGACTATGCAGTCTGCGTAAATAGTGCGCCTATGGCCGTTGTGAAAGAGCACCCGAGGCCAAACATTGTGCTTCTGTCCACCCATGAAGCACCCTACTTGTCGTTCTTTGAGAGCCGCATAGTCCCCATAAATCGTCGGGTTTTCCGCAGGAGGCCCAGACGATCCTGTTTGCCCTGTAAATGACAAGACCTTGCCCGACTTGGCCCTGGGAAGCTTGGCAGGATCATAGTTTTCGAATCCGCAGATGATTCCTTGACTGCCGTTGCACAGTCCCGCCCGGAACATAGTCCCGCTCGGAGGTCGAGATTGACCTGTAGCACCACGACCATACCTGTCCTTAGTTGTACTTGTCGTTCTAGGCGGTGGTCCTTGAGAGCCACCAGCGACCCATCCGTGAAGCGATCATTGTAGTGCTCCAAGTGAGGGTGCTCCTTGTGGTGCCAAACGAACCCATCCAAGGTCCGGTATGTGACTATTGGAGTCTGCAGCTTATTAAAGTTATCTGTGTTGACCTTGGTCACTTCAATCCTTGTCGAGAAGAGTCGCGTGGCATTGGTAACATTGCACGGATGATTTATCAAGGTTTCCGTCTCATCACGCGAGAATGGGACCCCAAGTTGGCATTTTTGCAGCATCTTCAGAAAGTGTTCGTCATTCTGTCGATGGATCTGTTT